CAATCAACACTTGTTCAATTTGGGGAACAGACACAACAGCCACGAGCCATTTCTTCCCAATAATTTTTAATTCATAAATTTCATATAAACAGTTAATTGTTGAATAATTTACACACAGCAAGATTTATTTTCATTTCATTCCAACATTTACTGTACACGTCACTGCTTGGCTCTCCTTGAAGAAAAAAATCAACTGGAAAAATAAAATCAAAACTGAAACATCGATCCATACGAGTAAATCATGGCACAGTTTGACCCTGGTCAGACGGATTAGTCGTTTAGTTTAAATAAGCAACAGTGTATTTCATTTTTTTTTTCTTCTGTGTACCGCAATGTAAATGGCACAAATTCAACTGGCAAAGTGAAAGCTGAGGGGAAAAAGTGTGTGTTGGTGATTAAATAACATTTTTAACAATACAGGTGAACTACGTGAGATCGTCTATGTGCACAGAAAAACAAACAGCAGGGATAAAAACGAAACAAACGAAACCATAAAACTTTCAACTAAACAGAAAATTTGACAGGATAATAATACACAAAGGGTGCTGATTACTTAATGCTTGAAAAGGCCATATCACCCCGAAACACATAAAAGCCCCCAAACGATGTTGGATTTATATAAGAAATACACATTCAGCATTAACAAAACTCCTAACTGCGGTCGGCGTGATTGTGTTCGTGTATGTTCTCGAATGTCGAATTTGCTGTAGCTTATAATAAAATCCGCAGTGGTCTTTTCCAGTTTATTTCACATTTGAAAAAGTACTCTTTATTCAATCAGGCGACACTTACCAGCTGCCACCGCTATTTTTTCTGAATCATACAAAGGGAGATCCCATTTACAAATACAAAAAGGATATGCAATCATTTCTTGGATGTACATGAAATTGAAACAATGCAAATGTCGTACAAAAGAAAGAACATCGTAGGCCAAATCCCGAACATCGTCCGATCGGTTTCGAAACCACAGCGTAACGCTGTGCGCTGAAGACATCACACTTTTTAAATCGAGAAGAAAGCTATATACACATTGATAATGTTTAATGTACATGAATAGGAAAAAAAGTTTACAGTCAAAAAAGTCATTGAATTTTTGCCCTCCCTATTTCGACTAAAAAAATAGAAATTAATATCCAAGCGTAATACTTTATCCTTTTAAAAGCAATAAAATGCATACAATGCCTTGTGCTCGACCGGTTCTGCTTCGTTTTTCTTGCTGTAGAAAACCGCAATCATTTTTGGGTTTATCAAAATATTTATTCTCTAAAATTTCGATTTTTTACACTGGGAGCTGCCAAAGATGTTGTATGAATCTATCGTACAATAGCAAAACCCAAGAAGAGACAAGTTCAGCTTATTTCCAAATAAAAAGAGTATCTTTCACATATACCAATACAGTAAAACCGAGCCAAGCATCGAGCTGAAGATGTCGGAGAAATCTGTACAATAGGCTCCAGTTGAAAGTTGTCGGGCGAAAATAAAAAACAATCCAGGGAGTTTGTTGGCCAGGTTTGGCTTGGAGGATACTTAGGTTTGTGTGCAAGGCACTATATGGGTCGCTCGATTTATTCTAGAGGCAACAAACGATGCGCAACGGGCATCCAAAGGCATCGTTTATGCAGTTGTCCATCTTTTTTTCTCGTACGTTTAACTAGCAGTGGATATTTGAATCTCCTCCGATAAACGAAACCCAACGCTCACATCTCCCTGAGAGAAAAAATAAAACGTTTCTATGGCACATAGGATTGTCCGCGAGAATATTTACGAATGCATGTGTGTAAGGAGAGGCAGGTGTAGTCCGAGTTTACTATAAACTATGGCATTGATAGAAATCTTCACAGTAGAAAAACACAAAACATTGACAATCACATTTGGAGCAAACATACATAAGAAATTACGCTTTCGTACAGGGCATCAGAAAGTTTGTTCGGTGAGATGTTGCAGCGAGCGGAAAAAAAGTCGTTTTTGTTTGCCCATTGTAACCACGTAGCCTATAATAATAATTGCGCAATATGTTTGCGGACTTACAAACTGTGATTCAGTAGTCATCCACGTGACCAAATCAGCTTAAAACTTTACGGACTAAAGTGTACATGGCTTAAAGACAAGTGGCTTTACAAAAACTTGTTTGTATTATTCGAATAAGTGCTTCACATAAAAGACGATATAACATCGCAATACCTCCGATTCAAATTAGCTCTACAGAGCCAAAATGGTGTGTCGTACCTTAAATTATAAAAAGCAAGCTTTTCTGAACACTCCATTTACATTTTACTTATGTAATACTCTATAGCTAACTTATCGTTAAATTGAATCGTTTCGCAACTGAACTGGCTCTGCATATCAGAAACAATCTTTGGATTCAAAGCCTTGGGAAAGTAGAACAATCGCCAAAGGGGAGTGATTTATGTTCGTAAAATTGCGCAGCCTCTAGTGGCCGAATTAGGGACTGCACTGTTTGTTTTGCTGCCCCAAAACAAGCCTGATAAAGAAATAACTAAAGAGAGACGCACTACGCTCTAATCAATTTCTAACAACATACTGAGGTAGACTGTGTCCAAACAACCAACAGAAAGACATTAGCGCTAGTAAACCCACCGTGTTCTCCGTCTCTCTCTCTCTTTAATTAAACATAAAATAAACATCTAAAAGACTAGTTTTACCCGCCTTAAAGTATTGTAATAAAAGCTAGCAGGGATTTACATAATCATGAGGATCGTAAAATAAATAAAAATACCAATATCTGCCTTTTCAAAGATATGATAATCTTGTTATTTCTGAAAAACAAAACAATCGTATAGACGCCTGCTCACAGCTACAGAAATTCTTTGTAGTAATGTACGAAGAGCTACAAGCAAGTTGGATTTCTTCGATTCTGCTATGTACATCTGAAATAAAGCCAGTAATGCTGAAAAAGGGACCTTTTTTATATAAATCAGGCTACGTTAGAAAAAGGAGAAAAAATAGGTGTGAATTCCAGCCTCCTGTCATTGTACTACTGAAACTGCCCACAAATAAATATTCAAACACGCAACAAAATACACGCACATACATGAAATGTGCACGACAAGTAAGATCCAGTAAAAACGCCATCTCTCTAGCCTCTGGCGATTGGAGAAGGCACAAAGTTGAGGAATCGAGCGTCTGCCTACAAAGCTTTTTCTTCTTTAATAGGGGTTTATTTGGGAAAATGCGTCATTCGTTGTTATCATGCGAACGACACTCACTTTTTGGATACTTTGATAGGTAACAAAGCCTGATCAAGAATAGCTTACAGCATAGGTCTCAAACTAAATTCCTGGAGAGCCACAGCTCTGCAGTTTTGCTCCAACCTTAATCAAACACAGCTAATCCAAATAATCGAGGGGTTCAAGAGTCTTAAACACCTTTATTAGGTACAACAGCTGTGTTTGATTAGGGTTGGAGCAAAACTGTGCAGAGCTGCGGCTCTCCAGGAATTGAATTGGAGACCTACAGTATGGCTTACAGGAATGTTTTAATGATCCGATTGAAATATTGCCAATTTAAATGAATATTTCTGCTGTCAAAAACAACAATCCAGAATCCCTCTGTAGACCAGCTTATCTTTCACAATAAGATCCTAAATCCACCTGAATAATCCAACGTTTCATATCCCACGAATAACTATGCTACAAAACATTACCAAAACATTCTCCATGACCATATCCTACAACAATCGGATTTTTGACAGCAAACCTGAACGTTTATTCTCCTGAACTGCGCATTCGAAAATTTGCATTTATATTTCAACAACACTACCACTAATAATAATAAATATTATTCTTACTATTATTACTACTAGTGATCTATTTATTATTTATCACCCAAAAATAAACATCTTGATATTTTGAATTCAGGCCAAAACCAAAAACTCGCCCCTCTGTACGCTGGAATATCACTGTGATTCACCCAGAATATTAATGCAATCTTTTTCCTTTTGGTTAGACATAAAAAAACAGCTCATAAAAAGAGACATTGTTGCAAAAAATATTGTATAAGCAAAGCTGATGAAGACATTAGAAAAAGACATAAGAATTATGTACAAAAGTTCAGATGTTGTGAATAGTACATTTAAAATACTGATACATATATATATATATATATATATATATATATATATATATATATATATATATATATATATATATATATATATATATATATATATATATATATATATATATATATATATATATATAATACCCACTATATATCAGAGCAGCAGCTATTGGTCAGTCTGAGGAACCCTTTTGTCCAATTTGTAACTGTTAAATATCCTTCAGCCAGTAAAAAGAACACAGGAGTAAAAGATCAGAGGGGAAAAAAAGAAAATAAAGCAAATAAATTAAACCTCATTCACCAGAACACCATGTGAAGATCATCAGTGAATTCAGGAATTCTCCAGGACAAAATAAAAGTCATTCCTCTACAAAAACAGAAGTTTGTTCTAAAAGAAAAGAAGCCATCCCATAGTTCCACACTGTAAAGTCGTTGCTTTAAAGAAACGAACACAAATATTTATAGACACTTCTCTTTTTTATAGGCCACTTAATAAAAGGCCACTATATTAAAAGATTTCCACTTTGAACAAAAAAAGAGAAACAGGAAAAATAAGCATCCAAGGGTCGAAGGAAGTGGACATTGAGGTGACGTAGCCAAAGCAGCTTTTCTGGTTGATTTAGTCATGTTCACAGTTTGCTTTCCCTCCACCCAAAACCAAACTGTCTCGAAAACTTGGCAAAAGTGTAAAAAGTGTCAGAAAGCGAACGGTGTTGGTTGAGAAAGGAAACGTCCATTTTCGTTGTAACCATAAGAGTTTAGCCGTGAGACGGAAACAACATAGACGACAACGATGACGACAACAACAACAACAAACAAAAAAGACCTGAGATCTGTATCTTTAAGGGCCTCTGCAAAAATAATGCATTTAAAAACTTTCTTTAAAAAAAAAAAAGGTAGAAGAAACGGTGAGGCAAATGTTAGGACGGACTAGATCTGGGTAAAGACAGAATTCGGCCATTTTTCTTTCCACCGTTCATATGTGTGTAGGGCACATGCTCCTCGTAATTGCCCCGTAGGCCCACTGAGGGGCCGTTGTCTCTACTGTGGCTCTCCTCGCGTTGGGAATAGGATGAGGGGTCCAGTGGTATGCTCTCCATGTTCTCGAAGTCCATGTCAAACTCCTCGCTCTCAGGCGCTTTGTTCTCCTCGCTGTAGAAGAACGAGACCTCTTGAAAAGTAGGATGCAGGTCCTCCTTGATCATCTCGATGATCTCGTGGAAGGTTGGCCGCATCTTCGGGTTGTACTGCCAACACATCTGCATGAGGTTGTGCCTGGGAGAAGAGTTCAAGCAAGAGAAGACAATCTTACCAACTACATCTCATTATCCAGCTCACATTTTGTGTCTCCATGATATGGAAACATCTTGGACAAACAAAACTGGAATTTCATTAATGTTAGGTTAACATTTTCTGCTGGTACCTTGACTTAGGACTAAGATGTGCTTTTGTCGATCAGGTCAAATGGATGAAGCTAAACCCAGGTGTAAACTGGTCAAAAATGGCTTTACCTTGTTCATGTTTGACTACCCCAGTGATATTTAAATGCATGTTAATACAAGGTGAAAACAGTGATGCATCTCAGCTGATCACTGAATCACTGAAAATACCAAGAGGAATGAGGAACAGCGTAGTTTTAAATACCAAAGGATGTAGGGTTTCTTAACAAGCTAAACCACTCGACTACAAGAAAGCACATGATGTAGGGAATTAACCAGCCGAGGCAGAGTAAAGATTTCTTGCTATGGTGACTGACCAATACTGAGTATCGATTCTAATGCTTCAAGCTTTAGAATTGCGCCATTGCTTAAAATCGTGGCAGCTAAAACCCTGGATGTACAATGGATGCAACAAAGAGACCATCTCTGGAACCCACATTTGTAGACAGCAAAACAATCACCAATGCCCTCATTTACATCCTCACTTGCTGTAGCACTGCTAAGTATAACCTGAAAGTACTCACATGTCTTCATCTGCTTGCAAACAAAGAGCAACTGGTTTATGAGATTGGCCAGGTTTAGTGAGTGCCAATCTCTATTGGGCAATAATGATCACCAGCTGATCAATCCCTAACATCATAGTCTAAGTCGGTCCACTCAGGTTTACCTCCATGTCCGTACTTACATTCTCTCCGGACAGTTCTCCGGTCTATCCAGGTATCCTCCGTCCATGACGAACTTGAGCACCTGCTCATTGGACAGTCCCTGGTACGGCTGCTCAGCAAGTGTGCTGATCTCCCATAACACCACTCCGAAAGACCTGGAAGTTGACAGATTTCCGTTAAAGTTCCGGCCCCAGACCAAATGTACAGTTCCTCTCCTGGAGACTTTAGCAAATTTCTGCACCACTTTGAAAAGTTGGGTACATTTGGTACTGAACAAGCAGAGACCTGCAAAGTTGCACTCAAACCCTAATAAAACCCACCTAATCAAGTAAATCAAGGTCTAAGTGTTAATAGAAAGATACAGGCAGGTGAGTTTTTTCAAGGCTTGCTTAATCTCTGCAGGATTGTTGCTTTCTAGGACCATACTTGTCCACCTCTGGACTAGGAGCATCTAGCAATCCCAATGATCACTGGTGACCCATTCCTCAGAATGCAGAGCCAACCTGTACCAGCAAACTTGCCTTGAAAATTAAGTCTGGAATTAGCTTGTGCAGAGTTGGGATTGATACTAAACTTTGCATGATAGGGGTCACTCAGGAAGAGGACTGGACAGGGTCCAGGGCATTTATTGGCAGGGCATTTATTAAGCAGTTGTTCTTCCAGGAACCTGATTAGAAATACCCACCAGCAGTCTGAGTGAGCAGTGAATACACCATCTTTCAACGACTCTGGTGCCATCCATCTGACAGGCAGAAGGCCTTTCCCGCCCTTGCGATAGTAATCAGTCTCGTAAATGTCTCGCGTCATGCCAAAATCTGCAAGAAGATAAACCCCAAAACAAATCAAGACAATTTCACCCCTTTGAACCACAAGCTGACTATACTCAATTCAGGTTGACTTGCCTCCAATTTTGACGGTGTAATCTTCAGCCACCATGCAGTTTCTTGCAGCGAGATCTCTGTGGACAAACTTCTTAGCATTGAGATATGCCATCCCATCTGCTATCTCAGCTGACATTTGGATCATCTCCTTTAGGGTTGGCGGTGGACTGCCTGGGTTATTCTATTGAAAAACAATTGAATCAGTGGTTAAGGCCAGATGCTTCAATTAGCATTAGCATTTTTGTGGACTCATATAACCATACAAGATAAAACGAACTTGTCCATTATTAAAGCTCAACTGAAATAATATTATTGTCATAACACCCACATATGTAGGGATAATCAGATTCAGGGGGCTCGTCCGGGATATTGAAATATGATTGATCTACAAAAGAAACAGAAAGTCTTACTTCCGCATCAGGCCTCAGGCTACGCAGGTAGCTTTTCAGATCTCCGTGCGTCATTAGTTCCATGACAACCAATGTCGGCTGTCCCTTGGATACCACACCAAGCAAACGCACCTAGATAAACAAGCCAAACATTCAGACAAAGCTTTCGTCACTTTGATGAACTTCTCAAAGTCGTCCACACTTACCACATGGTGGCAGCTAAAGGCTTTCATGACTGAAGCCTCATTAAGGAACTCAATCCTCTCGCGCAGACTCGCCGACTCATTTACAGTTTTCACAGCAACTCGAGTGTCCGGTTCACCCTTTATGATGTCTTTAGCAATGCCTTCATACACCATCCCAAATGATCCCTGCCCAAGCTCTCTCATGACAGTGATCTTCTCACGAGGAACTTCCCATTCGTCAGGGATGTACACTGCAAACACACAAGCTCAGTATTTAACATCACAGAGGTGTACACTGATTAATCATCAGTTATTATCTAAAATCATATTTTACCATCATTTGCACTTATATATTCTGGGTTGGAGGAAGCAATCAGTGGGCCAGTTGGTCCTTCAGTTTGTCTGAGAGAAAAGAAATGTCTACATCATACCACTGTTTATGCGATGAATAAGGGCTTGATTTAATGTCTTAAACTTACTTCTTCTTCAAGACAAAGTAGCCTACGCTGGCCAGAATCACCAGTAAGAAAATGCAGATGGCTAGGATGATAACGATTTTCATGCTCATTTCCCCTGCAAAACATGTTTGTTAGAGACAGAAGTGCTGCTAAATTCAGAAAAAAGGTATAGTACATAAAGTAAAGCTTACTGTCTTGAACATAAAAGTATGCAGGATCAGTCCAAGAACCATTGCCAGCCAGCGAGGTGGCACGAACTCGCACACTGTAATTCCCAGGATGCCCTACTCTTAATCGATAGCCATGGTTTTTCTCATAGGAAATTCTGGACACGCAGATTTGATCCTCCTGAGAGACCAAAAACATTTAAAAACATTACAGCAGGTAGACATTTTTATGTCTATGGCATATACATACACACCATAATTTATAACACTTACGTAGTTATCAGACATCCGTAGATACTTGACTTCATACAGTATGATCATGCCGTTAGGAGTTTTGGGCTCTTTCCATCTGATGTAAACAACATCCGGCTCGTCAGGAAAAAATTCGTGAGTCACTGGCTCGGCAATGACATCAGCTTTCACTATGAAAACAAGTGGAAACTCAATACATTCCAATACCTTTCTATAATCTAAAGCAGTGTTTCTCAACCCTGCTCCTGAAGGCACACCAACACAACATTTTCAACCTCCCCATAATCAAACAGCTGAATCCTGAAGTTAATGATTAGATAAGGGAGACATCCAAAAATCTTCTGTTGGTATGCCTCCAGGAACAGGGTTGGGATACAATGATCTAAAGCAGTGTTTCTCAACCTCGTTCCTGGAGGACCACCAGCTCTGCACATCTTCCATGTCTCCTTACCCAAATACACCAGATTCAGATCATTTGAGCAGAGGCTTAAAGATCTGTAACGGGTGTGACAGACAAAGGAGACATCTAAAACTTGCAGTGCTGATAGTCCTCCAGGATCGTGGTTGATCTATAGTAAATAAAGCATATTTGAAGAGTCTTACGTTCAGGGAGTGTGCGGGCTTTGACGTATGTTGGCATGCTGCAGCGGCCCGGGTCTGTGGGGTCGTTGCAAGCGTGGATCTCAATCTGGTAGCTGGTGAAGTGGAGCAGGTTGGAGATGACCATGGCCTCTTTGGAGCTGGCTTTGAACACCATCTTCCGGCTCTTTTCTTCCTCTGGGATTGAAGTGGTTGGAAAGTTGGGTATTATAGTTGGTGTGGTTCCAAAATTTGGCAACGTTGCATTGGCTACGCCAACTGAGCGACGCCGACGGTGGGGCCTGAGGGTCGACAGAAAAGATGGAGGTTCAGCCAGAGCAAATGAATGAACATCTACATTTTATCTGAATAACGTCCCATGAAATTAAAATAAAAACGTTTTTGGTCACAATTTATTTTGATTGTCTGTTTGTTGAATTGAAGTTACATTGCATCTACATGCCAACTAGTTCTCAATAGATTATAAGTAGACCGTTAGGTTGGGGTTAGAGTTAGTGTAAGTTAACATGTACTTGCAAAGTTTCTTATAGTCAGTTAAATGTCTGTTGATGGAGCAGTATCAACATATTAAGCAGACAGTCTACTAATACTCAAATGGCCGTCAAAATAAAGTGTTACCAAGATTTTTAGATGTTAGTATCAGTATTGTTAGTTTTTAGGATATCCATAAGCTAGTGTGCACCAAAACAGTGACAAAATTCACATTTAGAAGATATAAATGAATCAACGGTTTTATTCCCTTCATCTCACACTTCAGTTTCTCATCAAATCCTGACCAATCAAATGCTCTAATATCTGACGTGCCCCGCCTTCTTCAAGATGCTCTCATTTGATGCTTAAGCTCAACCCCTCTTACTGGCAGATGCTAAACTGCTATTGGTTGTTTTTTTAAAAAGGGGAGGAGCTACTCTGTCCCACCTTCTCTTCATGTTTTGGTTGAGATGACATCATGATCAAATATTAATAATAAATACACATTTCAAAGCCCTTCATGGGAATTTGCAGTCACAATAGCAAAAGTTTGCTAAACCCTGTTTTTAAAAGGTGGAAAGTTAACATTTAACAAAATGTAACATTATGAACACCCAAGAGTGGGAATGGTTTATTTGGGAATAGTCTGTCCCTGTTATGCTGTAGTTATTATTAAAAGTACTGATACAAAATAAACTTTAAAAAGGTTAGTTAATTTAATTAATTTAAATAAAATAAATAAATAAATTATTCAATATATGTTAAAAATATTTTATACAACTTAATTAAACAATATAAATTAAATAAAAATAATTATAAATAAAAAAAATCTAATAAATAGTGCATAATATTAAAGTATAAATGTATAGATTTATAGTTAAAATATATTATGAGAACTAGAAAAGCACTAATTAAAAAAAGTCTAATTACAAAAACAAAAGCATTAATTACAAAAATGCACAAACATTTACAAATACTTACACAAATATAAATATATGGTTATCATCTAATTTAAAATGTTTGCTTAATGACACCAAGATGAATTAAAAATAAATTATATATATATATATATATATATATATATATATATATATATATATATATATATATATATATATATATATATATATATATATATATATATATATATATATATATATATATATATATATATATATATATGTGTGTGTATATATATATATATATTTTTGTTGTAATGTTCTGCAATATCAGAACTCCTACAACCTCTTTACCCTTTGTGTATTACTCTGCCCACATACAGCCAGCAAAAAGCAGACACTAGGCTCTAAAGTTTAAAAGATGCACGCTCAACTGTTTAACTGTCAGCTTATGATTTGAATCCAGAAGAAAGTAGTTCCTCATACAAAAGAGTTTTTGAGACTCTCTGTGTTTGATTTAGTTTTTATATACACAATTATGCCGTCAAACTGTTGTATAAACGCAATATCACACTCATAGCAGTGTGATATGACTGTATATCGGCACCGGTGGGGGCACTAAGGCATGTATGTATATATATATATATATATATATATATATATATATATATATATATATATATTAAGACATATATGAAGTGTGCTTCACACTGATGAGTGGGCTTGATTCTCTGAGCACTAATAACAGTTCCTTTGTATAATTAGCAGTTCCTGTGTGTATTGCCTGTTCTTGTTGAATCTCTGAATATCTCCTAAATTGTAAGTCTCTTTGGACAAAAGCGTCTGCCAAATGACTAGATGGAAATGTAAATATAAGTAAAACTTCTGTCAATAAAGTGCATATTTTTAACATTTCTGCCACAGGAAATGATATATTGTGAATCTTGAGGCCTTTCTTGGCCAAGTAAGCTGCAGTGTGAACTGTTAGAGGTAATTAAACGGTGAACCAGCAGATGGCGCTACAGGCCCTAATGTAAACAGTGAGGACTCCATTGACACTCCAGTGATCTGTTCAGCAGCATATTAAACTGGCCACCATTAAACCACAGCACACTTCAAAGAGAAAACACACGGCATCTAATAACTAATGGTCAAAAAAATGAATGGTCAAAGACATAATAACAACATTTAAGTCCACACATAACTGTAGTAAAAATCATCATCTTCTCCACGGCTGATATAGCCTATTTTGAGGGATGTAAACAAAAACAATGGTGATGCATTTCCTGTTTTACATTTTTAATCCCTATAGCTTCCGAAAATCCAAAAAGAGACACATATTGATAAATAATATTGAATTGCCTCTTGTTACAGTTATGAAACGGGTTTGATAATAACAAGCAGGAAATGTTCACGGATCAATGACAATACCACGTTGAAAGGTCTTTATATATATGTACCTGGGCTCGAACACTTCATTGTGCAGGTAGTTCTCGAAGGTCTTGCGAAACTCAGTTTCCTCTGCCTCTTTCTTGAGCTGCATTTCGGTTTTGGGACAGGCGCAGCAGTGCCCCTTCTGGTCTGGAACCTCCGTCTGGTTAAGCTTCTGGTCCTCCTCGACGTCGTGGTGCGTCGGCGTGTGGGACGGCACTTTCATACCTGACAAACAAGAGCATTTACTTAGTCTTTCCCATCTTTGGAATCATTCTGTCATTGTCTAATATCACCTGTCATGCTAATAATTGTCAGCGCTAGCAATACTGGATACACGAAATGCAGGAAATGCCAAGATAGTTACCTGAACTATGGTTTTATTTCATTTTCTTGAAGCAAAGTGTCCCTGACCCAGCCACAGTGCATTATCTGCACCAAGTTCTTGCTAACGAATGCATGAGGGTGTCCAATTTAATAAGAATTTGCAGAATACTCATCCCTAATACCGTAAGGTGTACCCAATACAAATGACCTACTGATGTTTTGCTTTTATATTTTACATCAGGCTAATATTTGTGCATAAACATATAGATACAGTAATAAACATACCATTTGTTTGTATACAACTTTTTTGTCATACATACTGCAGACTTATATGAGTGATAATATCATTAAATGTGGGACCTTACAATATTTTCTGGGGGAAAAGGATGTCTCAGGCAAAAAAAAAAAAAAAAAAAAAAAAAAAAAAAAAGGTTGGGAATCACTGATCTACAGGCTGTTTCTGAATGTACCTTGCTGGCAGTAGTCAAACTTGTAGTGTGTGATGTCCTCGCTCTGCTTCTGGCAGTAGATGATGTAGTGTGTGATGTTTCCATTGGGGTCTGACGGCGGTTTCCACTTGAGGATGATCTGAGAGGACGAGTTTGACCAGGAGTGAGGATCCAGCGGCACTGAAGGCCCTGTTGAACAGCAGAAACACACACAGAGAAGCATTCACATCTCAGACAACACTTTTTTATTTGTTAAATACTAAAATAAATACAACATATTATTATTATTATTATATTATATTATATTATATTATATTAAATTATATTATAAAAATTATTTTATTAAAATAAAATTTTATTATTGTTTAATCATTTTATATTATTTAATAATTTTAATATATTTAATTAGTAGAAATATATTATTAACAATTATGCATAACTATGAATGCATGCATGCAAGTAGTGTAATTATGGTTTATCATTTATTTAAATTTTTCAACCTACATTAAAATGATAATTTTAAAACAAATGTTGTGCATCATGTATTTTTAAAGAAATTAGTTGCATATATATTCATATACATAGTAAAAGAAAAAAAAACATATAGTATACTTTCTAATATTATAATTATTTGATTTATAATTATATATATATATATATATATATATATATATATATATATATATATATATATAGAAGTAAAATCTGCACGTGTGTATGATTTGTAAATTTCAAATATTATATAATCTTATATGTATAAATTATTATATAAATTTTATGTATAAAATTTAATATTGCAATTTTATTGTGCTTAATCTTTTTTAATTATATCTTTACTCATTGTTATAAACTTAAATGTATTTTTATATATTTGTACGTTTGTGTGAGTAAATATAACACAAGATATGATACTTTATAAACACTATTTATTTAATTATTTATTTGTTTTATGTAAAAACTATTTATTATGTGTGTTTACATTCATCAAAAATACATTAACTTATTGATTAATTTAAAATTACAATAAAATATTAATTCCCATATCATAAACAATTAACTTGCTATTTTATATTTGATATATTTATGCATGTACAGTTAAAGTCAGAATTATTAGCCCCCTTTGAATTGTTCTTCTTTTTTAAATACTTCCCAAATGATGTTTAACAGAGCAAGGAAATGTTCACAGTATTTCTGACAATATTTTTTCTTCTGGGGAAAGTCTTATTTGTTTTATTTCGGCTAGAATAAAAGCAGTTTTTAATTTTTTAAAAACATTTTAGGGTCAAATTATTAGCCCCTTTAAGCTATATATTTTTTCGATAGTCTACAAAACAAACCATTTTTATACAATAACATGCCTAATTACCCTAACCTGCCTAGTTCACCTAATTAACCTAGTTAAGCCTTTAAATGTCACTTTAAGCTGTATAGAAAAATATCTAGTCAAATATTATTTACTGTCATCATGTACAAGATAAAATAAATCAGTTATTAGAAATTAGTTATTAAAATGATTATGTTCAGAAATGTGTTGAAAAAAATCTCTGTTAAAAAGACATTGGGGAAAAAAATTAACAGGGGAGCTAATATTCAGGGGGGGCTAATAATTCTGACTTTAACTGTATATGTGAGTGTCTATATACAACAATATAATTCATCTTTTAATAAAAGCAAATGTATTTTAACTTGTATATTTTATTCCATAAATCTACCATATTTTATACTGGTCCCCCAATAAACAGACTTGGTAATGCTGATCTTACGTGTGGCGTTGGTCCTGACGTAGATGATCTCGGTCTTGGCTCCTCTGACCTGATGGTCTTCTGAGGCTGCGAGCTGGGCTTTCACCATGACGGCGTATTGAGTCCAGGGCTTGAGAGGCATGATCAGGTACCCCGGCTCCACCTCTTTACCTTCACTAGGTCTCTGCGGCGGCTCTACGTCTGCAATGGCCCAGCTGTTAGAGCCACACGCGTCCTGCCCGTCGTATTCAGTCACGTTCCTGTGAGGACTGAAGCGGGAAAACAGGCACAGTTAACCAACGCAGTGCTTTCAATAGTGATTATTTTCTGTATATTTGGATTAAGTTACTGATTAAAGTGTTCATTCTTATACACTAACATGTTTTTGGATTGTCGTATAATTAATGTTATAAACATCTATAAATAATACAGTTTATTTTTGAATGAAAGAAAATGTATTTATATATATATTTTTTAGACTACATTTTTTAAAAATACTTTAAAATATTTTATAATACACTACAAATATACTATATTTTATACTTTATTACCAGTATAATAGTAATACTACATTATTAGTACATTTTCATGGAATTAATGTTTTATTCATTTAAAATGTTATATATATACAAACCGGCCACTTTATTAGGTACACCGTCCAACTGCGTTAACGCAAATCAGCCAATCACATGGCAGCAACTCAATGTATTTAGACATGTAGACATGGTCAAGACGATCTGCTGCAGTTCAAACCGAGCATCAGAATGGGGAAGAAAGGGGATTTAAGTGACTTTAAACGTGGCATAGTTGTTGGTGCCAGACGGGCTGGTCTGAGTATTTCAGAAGCTGCTGATCTACTGGGACTTTCACGCGCAACCATCTCTAGACAAATGCCTTGTTGATGCCAGAGGTCAGAGGAGAATGGCCAGACTGGTTCCAGTTGATAGAAAGGCAACAGCAACTCAAAAAAGCATTCGTTACAACGGAGGTATGCAGAAGCGCATTTCTTAATGCACAACACGTCCAAACTTGAGTTAGATGGGCTACAGCAGCAGAAGACCGGGTGTCACTCCTGTCAGCTAAGACAAGGAAACTGAGGCTACAATTTGCACAGGCTCACCAATAGAAGGTTGGAAAACGATGCCTGGTCTGATGAGTCTCGGTTTCTGCTGCAACATTCAGATGGTAGGGTCAGAATTTGGCATCAACAACAATAAAGCATGGATCCATCCTGCCTTGTATCAACAATTCAGGCTGCTGGTGGTGGTGTCCATCTCTTTATGACCACAGTGTACCCATCTTCTTATGGCAACTTTCAGCAGGATAACACGTCATGTCATAAAGCACCAATGATCTCAGACTAGTTTCTTGAACATGACAATGAGTATTTAACTGTACTCAAATGGCCTCCACAGTCACCAGAACTCAATCCAATAGAGCACCTTTGGGATAAGTTTTTCATTTTCCCAATAAGATATTTTTATGGTTTTGTACAAATTAAGATTAATTATGCTGCTATTCTGCATAATTAAACATTAAAAGGCAAAATAACTGTTTACATTATAATATTTTAAAACATTATTAGTCATACAATAAAAAATTCTCATAATAATATAAAAAAGGAGGACGTGCAGCAACATTTTCAAAACTATTTTAATATAATTTTGTTTTATAGGATTTAAAATGAGCAGAACTACATACGAACAATCATGGTTAAATAACTGTGAAGCTGATTGGTTGGTTCTTGTCACATGTCATGCAGTTCACTTCAACTCTCTATGTTGTAAACCTCGAAAAGTGACTGCATTTCCGCCTATTTGCACACTCAAAATATGAAATATGTGAAGGATCTTTAAATCAGGCCTTCATTTACATCATATAAACAGCTTCAATAGTGAAGCACAATAGATACTGAAAGGACCACACTCACGCTTCCTTGTAGAGCACCATGAATCCCAGCAGGTCTCTGAAGTCCGAGGGCCAGAAGGACTCCCATCGGATGAGGATCTTGTCGCTCATGGTGCGGATTTGTGTAAATTTGAGTATGTGACTTTCACCTGCAGGACAGAATGAAGATCGGGTCTACTTTATTGCTAAAAAATTAATGCAGATGCTCTAATGGTTTCCAGTACAAACCATCAAATTTAAATCTTTAAAAGCAGCACATTTAAAAGGTTTCCAGCAGAGCTGTGCAATATGACAATGAACAAAAATAAAAGGTCTGTAGTTTCATATTATATTTAATCATTTATAAAAAAATGCTAACAATCATTTTATTTACCAATGTTTTGTGTTGGGTTTTTGTTCATTTTTTATTTAATATTTGTTTTATATTTTACATTATCAAACATTTGCCCCGAAGTTCTAAATAAAGTGAGAAATATGTAAAAAACAAATAGTCCTTTAAATAGGGTCAATGTATATTGGTACTATACAGACTTAATACCATATGGTCATTCATATCGTCATAAGTAGGCCCACACGGAATCTGCACGCGCAAAATTCTGCAGAACTCCGCAGATTTTCCGCAGAATTCCACAGATTTCTGCAGATTTTTAGCCCATTATTAATTCTGTTTATTTACTTGAGTAAATGTGTAAATCTGAATTTATTCAGTTTTTATTCAGTAATTTATTACTTTTTATTTAATATATTAAGGTTTTAGTTATGATACTCCGCTTGATACTCCCAAAATAATTCCACAGAAATCCGCAGATTTTTACCAAAATTATCCGCAAAAATAGCAAAAAACGTCTGCAGAATCCGTCAGGCCCTGGTCATGAGGCTGTGAGATGATTTATATCGCGATAGGAGATTTTCGCCTAGTCTCCAGTTTGTTTTGGAACATTCTTCATTAGAATTTATGGGTTTTATTTAATAACTGACGGGTAGAGACCCGCACCCAATATAATTTCCATTATAAACATTTCACGACAGTTTATATATATATATATATATTTGTTTGTTTTTTCAGCATGTTTTGACACGACATGCGTGAGACTCTTACAGTAGGACTGGTCTTTCTCATTGCTGATGTCGTTCATCCTGTTCTTGGTGCCGGTGGCTTGTTCCATGCGCAGGATCTCAGACTTGCAGAGTTTGCCGTTTTGGATGAACTTCATTCGGCCTTTGAGGATGGTGAGGTTGTGTTTGTTCCAGTCCCACAGCTGGCGCAGGTTCTGGTTGTCCATCGCGTGGAACGAATAGTTTCTGCAAAAATCAAGAGTGCATAACGTAGATCTATTAGTAGTTCTGATAGATGATGCTTACTGGTCAATTTTTAATTATCGGAACAGTGTTTTCCAGTTTCCAGTCTTTGCAATGGACTTTTATTTTGACAACACACAAACTTTTTTAATTGGGTATATGCTGAGCTAGTGTTGTTCCCATACTTATAAACTTCCGGTGACCGGTTATTGTGTTTTTTTTTTCCATTTTATATGGTTCCTTTTACAGCATCTATGTTGTAATATAATTAAAATACATTCAGTTAAATAAACTTTGGCATTCATTTAGTTGTTCAAGCGTAAAACGAGACAAAAGGCCTTTTACTCGCACTAGCCCGTCAGTATCGGCAGGCTAGCGCAGAAGCTCCATTAAATATACTGGGGTAAAATAAATGCTCAGATTATAAAGACATGGCGGGGGAAATGTAATTTAATTCAGTGCTTCTTGTTCAATCTGAGACCCACTTTATATCGGACATCACTCAGCCAGTGGAGATCGCTGATTTTTAAAGAAAACTGACCTTAAACGCGCAGATTTTTGCATTAACATACAGTTCACTGGAAGCGCTTAACACAGGTTACTACCAAATTAAAAGCCCGATTAGCATGCTTCAGCAAATACCCTATTGAGGGCCTTGACTGCATAATTTTTCCCTATGGCTGATGTTTTAGAAGCTTTATTTTGATGACGTGGGGGATTTTATCTTTTAATTTTGAATCATATATCATATATATTTTTAATAATTAAAGTGACAAATATCTTTATTATTTCAACAAACCAAAAAAACTTATATTAAATGTTTCATGCATAACTGTATAAATTCTTGTTAAAATTTGCCTTAATACCCTTCTTGGAACATAAAAAACTATACCTAATAAAATAAAGGATGTTATAGACATTTATTACACCACTCTCTAGAATGATTCTGATTGGTCAATCACAACATCCAGTGAAGATAAAAGGTCATTTATTTCCCAGATAACAACTGTTTAAACTAATAACACATGTTCGTCCGGGTACTACAATCATTTTGACTTATATCATCTTTGAATATAATTGACGTATATATTTTACTTTCACTTTCCCTTATATGCTTTTCTGTTGTTCTTAACTGTTTGGCGCCATCTAGTGACTGAATAAGGATGATATTAATAATAACCTGAAAGAATACACTTATTAACTAAAAAGCTAGTAAATTTTTTCAACTCAGACCATTTTTTTTGTTTAATTGTTTATTTTAGTGGCAAGTAGCCATATAATAATGGGGTATTAATGTACATCCAACTAGTTTTTCTCACAGTATAAATCCATACATTGTCCCCTAAATAGCTTCTTATAAGAATAAGCCTATTCCTTTGGCAGACGTCTTTAATTTTGAAAGTGTGTGTATAGGACTTTTATATATTGGCTAATTTTGCCAATCCTTTATTTAAAAAATGTGTCAGAAAAAGACTCTTATTTTGACACCCCATATCTTCACCATTATATCGGCTGACTTTGCATTTTCTCTCTCACTGAGCGAACTTTTCTTTTTGGCCCATGTGTTTCATTCTAGCTGTGCATGGGACTGTGATTTTGACTACCAAATTAGCTGGTACTTGCCATTTTTTAATTCATCTATTAAGTAAAACTCTCTTTGCCCAATATTTAGAATTCTTTAAACATTAATTTTAAAGAATAGTAAAGAATGACCTTATAACAGGTTATTTAAAGGAAAATTACAGAAGTTTGGCTCAGCGGTGAGGTCAAACATACCCGCCGTCCAGCGTTTCTCCACGAATGAGATGCAGCTTGCGGAGGAAGGAGAGTGAGACGAGAGCATAGGCCCTTCGGATGGTCAGATATCCTGTGATCTCCTCCAGCTGACCCAGACTGGACTCCAGCTCCGCGGCGATGCTGTCTGTACGACACAAAACAGTGATACACATCTATTAAACCGAGATACACATGTAGTTGAGTTTTGCAGGTATACAATAGGCTAATATGGGAGCGTAAGGCACAAAGTAATGCAGGGTAAAATGTAACAGAGTTTTAAGGTATTTGCTCAAGGTTAACCATGGCATGCTTTAGTGGTTTCACCACAATTTCAGCAGACGTCTTCCTGCCAACCAGTTGATGAGAAACACAGGAGAAACCATTTTTGTAGCATAAAAGTTTTTTTTATAGTCAATATTTTTTTATTTAAAAAAAAATCTGTGAAAATGTGTACGTAACATCTTATATTGTTGTGATCACCGTTTTCTAGGCTAAAAGATGGAACCATTTTGAAAGATGTCAAAAATACACAGTGACTGCAAGCCAGTTTTGAGGAAAACACGACACAGAGGGGTTAGTTGTATCAGGGTGTTACAAAAAAGCCACACACTGTTGGACACCAACTAAACTAACCAAATCATTTTAGAATTTTGAGTGTAATGTTGAGAACTTTATAAAATGTTTTTTTAATTAGAAAATATTTTTAATAGACAAAATTTTTTTTAATTGCTAATACTACAAATAAATGCATTGTATAATAATGGAAAATAATCCAAATAAATCCAAATGTGTTTATCCAATAAATAAATAAACACTGTGCTATGTAGAATAAAAAATAAAATTGAGTTGAGTACTGAGGAAATAAAGCTACTGTTTAAAATAAACTGAATTTGAATTAATTGTGTAAAATCTGCCTTTATAAGCACGTGTTACAACTAACCAACCCTCTGTGTGTTACACCTTGCCCCGCAGGTGGGGTAAATAGTAACATTTATACTCGTGGCACTTCTGGCAATATTGCACAGAAACCATAAGTCTGGCGATCATCAACCAGTGCTCATTTGTAGGAGAGGCTTGTGTGTTGTTGGTAAAAAACAAATGGTTTGTCTAACCCCTTTACTTTGTTCAATATTTGTCCAAAACCAAAAAGTGTTACTTTGTTCCTGCTCTCCCTCTAATTATTTACACTTTTTGGCCAATTTTTTTTTGGACTTGTGTGTTTTCGAACTGAATTTGAATGAGTAGGGGGCGGGGATTATTTTTTTCCCCCCTCCTCTCATCATTCACTTGCAGCAAACCAATGGTTGGAGGGGGCGTGGTCGAGCATATTTCAGCCAACTGACATCATCAGAAAAGGACTGCTGTTCTGGAGCAGAAGCACATGATCAGATTTTGATTGAAGATCAAAAACTTTTTTTTTTTCAGTGGATTTCCTCGCACAGATTAATTGTCCACTTTAAGACTAGCAATATGCACTAATAATATAAACAATGACTACGTTTACATGGACATCAGAAATCGAATTATTTGATTCAATCTAATTAGGAGAATAATAAGTATAAGGTGTTTACATGAGTTCCTTTTTGAGTGTTACTTTCATGATTGTATTTTACATGTTATACCGCATAATTTGATTAACGTCATTGCGTCACCGCGCTATCCGCATTTCCTCCGGAGTTTTTATGTGATTTCAGGAGTTTAATAATTACTCCACATGTCTAAATTCGATTTCTCTTTAGTTCGATTATGACCTTAATCTGATTAAATTAATCAGAAATCGCTGTTAACATGGTTAACTCCAAATCAGAGTCCTGTCTTAATCGCATTAAAAACTAATTATTGGTGTCTATCTAAACGTACTCATTGTCTATTTTGATATTATGCAGACTTCAAATCAAATCAGATCTTTTATGACACCAATTATTGGTTCATACCTAAAAAAAAAACAAACTGATTATTTTAGTTTTTAATTCAATTTATATTGAATGAATTATGGCCAGGCAGTGATATCTGTGTCTTTATTTAAAAAATGTCATCCACATTTAAGAATCTGGGCTATTTGTATTGTAAACTCACAATCCATAGTATTTAGATTACTAATTAAGAATATAACATTTTTTAACTGTAAAAACTACTAAGATCATTATTATCAGGCCCTTTAGGCAATATTTTCTTTTCAATCGGTTACAGAATAAACCATTATTTATTTACCAAATTAACCAAACTTGCCTAACTAAACCAATTAACCCAGTTACATCATTAAATTGCACTTTAATACTAGTGCCTTACAAAATAACTAGCAAAATTGTATGAATTATGTATAGTAAAACTATTATATTTAAAATGTGATCATAAAAATCTTCTCTTAACTTATATAGGAAAATGAATTAAAGCTTCTAAGAGGGGCAAATAATTTCATCTTCAACTGTATTTTATAGACTTTATTCTCGGAAATGCACATAAGCATAATTTTCCATATCAAGGCGATGCCAATATTTTATCGAAGCCACCAATATCCATCAATTTATCAAGAATATTATGCATAACTTTATTTTTTAGATTGTATTTTTTTAATGTAAATACATTAAAAATGAATCAATCTAGACTTACTTCCTCCGCTGATCTTAATGATGAGGCTGCCGTTGAGCACTGTGCATCCCCGCAGCGCCTGAGCGGCCGTGACCGAGTCCACCGTCTGCACTCCTGTACACACTTTAGGACACCGACCGGTGCAGGGCATGCAGGTCAACCTGAAAACACCACAGACATGTGTTTAGTCAAGAGCAATGAGTGATGAAAGCAAGCCTGAAGATGTTCAAAGACGAGCGCTGCCGTACATGCATGCATTCCCAATGATGTCACCGGCTGACATGAGTTTTCATGATCGAAATCACCTGAGGGCCAAACATATTGTTCCCTGTGTGCTGAAATCTCGTTTCACCTGCGCTGCTGTCGTTCATGTGTTTGGATTGATGCCAAAATACGATGGGATGAATCGTGTGCTTCATTTAACCTGTAATTATTTGTTTTATTTGAAATTTTATTACTTTTATTTTGTAATTGGATTATTTATTTTTCTTATTTCACATTTTTTAAAATAAAAATAAACACACAAATGTTTCAACATGGTGTTGAGCCGAAACATTTGTGTATATTTTTATTAAAGAATGTGAATGAGTCATGACCTTTTGAGTTATTCTGTATATATATATATGTATATGTATATGTATATGTATATGTATATATATATATATATGTATATGTATATGTATATATATGTATATATATATATATATATATATATATATATATATATATGCACTTTTCCGATATACAGCCATATCGCACTGCCATGAGTGTGATATTGCATTTATACAACAGTTTGACGGCATAATTGTGTATATAAAATCAAAATCAAACACGGAGAGTCTCAAAAACTCTTTTGTATGTGGAACTACTTTCTTCCACATTGGATTCAAATCATAAGCTGACAGTTAAACAGTTGAGCGTGCATCTTTTAAACTTTAGACCTGTAGTGTCTGCTTGTTGCTGGCTATATATATATATATATATATATATATATATATATATATATATATATATATATATATATGTATATATATATTTATGTAAAGCTGTTTTGACACAATCTACATTGTAAAAGCGCTATACAAATACAGGTGAACTGAATTGAATTTATAATTAGTAAAAAAGTACAGTACACATTGGTTGTTTCTGCTTGGTCTCTTCTGCTTGGTAAATGTCTGGAAAGAGACTAATATTTTGACATTAAGAACTTTCTGTTTTAATCTATGTATCTTGAAATATGTGATTTTAAAAAAGATAACCAGTACCTAATATTTCAGTTTGGTTGATATCTTGAGACTTTTATTCTGACAGTGCATGGGACTTTTAACTTTTATAAACATAACATTCATAATTTTTTTCATAATTATCATCAAGAACCTGTTTCAGTTTTTGGTTTAGTCGATATTTAGGAATTAATATCCGATAATAGAGTCTAATTTTGACAATGCAGAATTTTTATTTCAGCTGAAATTTTAAGAATGTGCATAGACTGAAAAACATTTCCAAGTCTTTCTAAATCAGCCTATATTTTAATAGTCTGCATAGACTGTTTTGTTTTTCTAGCTCAAACTGTATTTGAGCTTAAGCTTTTACATGTTGACTATAAATAAAAAAAGCAAACAACTATCCAGTCTAGGCAGATAATAAATAATTCTGAATGCCGGTTTATATACGTGTCGAAACAAAACATTCCCTGTCAAATCAAAAAAGTCATCTATATTTTTCTCTGAAGACGTTTTAATTTTTGAAAAAGATCAACAACGACTAATAAGCTTTTATGTTTAGCTTAGTGTTGAAACACAATATTGGACCATAATACAGCACAATATTTTTCATTTTACCCAGATATCACATCATTTTTAAAAAAAAAAAATTTTTTATTTAATTTTGGCATTTTAGCTGATATTTAGCATATTTTAATTATCAGCATAGAATGGTACGTTTTTAGGTTCGGTTTTCGTAATCTTTTTGTTTTTTATTTTTTAATTTGTTTTTAAAAAGATCAACATCGAATGATAAGCTTTTATGTTTAGCAGATATCACATGATTTTTAAGAGTGTCCTTTTTAAAAGTTAATTTAATTTTTGCATTTTAGCTTATATTTGCCTTGTTTTGATTGTCGGCATAGATTGATATGTTTTTTCTGTAAGTATTTTTTTTTTGGTTCTTGTAATTGTTTTTAAAAAGATCAACATCGACTGACAAGCTTTTTTGTTTAGCAGAAGTGTTAGAATATAATATCGGAGCATAATAGACCACAATATTTTTAATTTTACCTTGATATCACTATTTTTATGCGTGTCTTTTTATTTAATTTCGGCACTTTGGATGATATTTGGCAGATTTTAACTATTGGCTAAGATTCGGTACATTTATTTTTTGGGTTTGTTTTTTTGTTTTGTTTTTTATTTAGCTTTTCGTTTTAGAAAGATCAACATCAACTGATCAGCTTTTATCTTTAGTGTTGGAACACAATATTGGAGCATATATGGAGCACATTTTTTTTATTATTCAGATATCACATGATTTGTAATTTAATTAATTAATTAATTACATTTTGGCTGATATTTGCCATATTTTAATTATCAGCATAGACTGGTAAGTTTTTTCGGTTTCATTTCAGTAAGTTCTTTTGATTTTGTTTTTAATTTTGTCCAATATTTGTCATTTTATGTAATAATCAGCTGTAAGTTTGACTGATTGAGAATCACGTCGGCTGCCGTTCGCATGAATTCCCCATGATGTCACCAGCTGGCATGACTAGTCACACTTGCTGTGGGCTGTGGGCCAAGCATATTGTTCCCTGTGTGCTGAAATCTCATTTCACCTGCGCCGCTGTCATTGATGTGTTTGGATCGATCCCAAAAATATGGTGTAACGGATCGCGCATTCATTCAAACTGCAACGCAGCGATCCATTTGAATGGAAAGAGTCATCGAGGGCAAACTCGAAAACACAATCACACCCAGACAAAACAGCACCGATAGTCCTGCTGCGCCCTTGAAGTGTGCAAACTCCACATCACAGCAAACACAAGGCCCTTTTGACGCAAGAATCTGCAATTATGCTGAAAGAGGGAAGAAATAACGGTAGAAGAGGAGTCAGATTTAATTTGATTGCTTAATTGAATCACTTTCCAACCAAATTAGAGAATACCATTGTGTAATCACTCTTAAACCTTGCTAAAATGCTGCACAGGCTAGGAGGGAAATTTACGCACAGCTCTCATATTTTACTCTTCCTCTCGTATTTAATAATAAAAACAAACACAAAAAACATTATCCTCATCAATTACAGTATAGACGCCCCAAAAAGTAATTGAGTTTAATAATAGTTTAGACACACACACACATACAAAATCAGACGCGGTGAGGAATTAAACACAATTTTTCCCATATTTTTACATTTTCACAAAAGTTATTTGAAACATTGAAGCAGATACTAGTCATGCTGTATGTTTTATTAAATACACAGATATTAATTGGCTTATTAAGGTTTTCAAATGTAATTTATTTATGAATCAAACGCTTTATCTCAGGTTAAGGTTTATTGATTTGGGAATTTTATCAGTCATCATTAATAACGGTTGTGGGGTTTACTTTTGGTAGATTTTAAGGGGTTATTCACACTGGGTTATTTCATAAATTCTTGTCTAAACCAGATAGCAATCTGATTGTAAAAAGTGCAGGTCTAAATGCCCTCAGAACGCATTTAAGACCGTTATAAAACACAAGAGAGAGTGCAGGTACAAAGCCTGAATATGAAACATTTGTATGAAAAACATTTAGCCTGAATATCATCATTTGTATGCAGTAAGATATATAATAATAATAATACACAATAAATAACAATAATAAATAATAATATAAAAAATTATATAATAATAATAATAATAATTATTATTATTATTATAAATAAAATTAATTATATAAATAATAATAATAATAATTATTATTATTATTATTATTATAAATAAAATTAATTTTATAAATAATAATAATAATAACAATAATAATATATAATAATTTAAAATAATATATTAAAATGCATTGTATTTGACACGTTATCGATGTAATCTAGCTAAATTTGCATATAGCTCCCGGAATTGGAATCATATCCATTTTGCCAAATGTGGGTAAATATGGTGCTCATGTTGCCAAATGTGGCTAAATACAGCCATTATGACAGACCAGATAGCTATCCAATCAGAGAAATGCATGAAGTGACTAGGAGTCTCATTTATAAACAACATGGCATACGCACGTTTTCACCATCGTTTTGTGCGTACGACACGTTGTTTTGCATTTCCCATGCAAACGTTCAACAAACAGACTTTTATAACATTAAACTTAAATATTGACTCAATCAAACCATTTTAAATCATCATATGAGCCGTAATTATTAATAATGTATATACGTTTCATGTAATGTATTTTGACATACGCTGACTTTTAGGAAGCTTTCTATGCAAAGTTACAATAAAATAATAAGAAAAAATAGTCATAAGCAGTCCAACATTGAATTTGTACGTGTACATTTCTGCAAATTTTTAGCCCATCATCAAGTCGATCCATTTACTTTTACTCATTCATTTTCTTGTTGGCTTAGTCCCTTTATTTATGCGGGGTCGCCACAGCGGAATAAACCGCCAACTTATCCAGCACATTTTTACGCAGCAGATGCCCTTCCAGCCGCAACCCATCTCTGGGAACATTTACTTTAGTTTTTATATGAATTTCAGTAATGTTATTGACTAATATGCAAATGTTTATATTAATTGTACGATACCACTTGGATCAGCGTGTAAATCGAAAGTTTGACCTCCGCAAAGCAGCGACAAGTTTTTTATGCGCTTCATCCATGCTTTCGGAGTCAGATGTAATCTCTGTAGTCGAGTTTTTTTGCCTTTTGCTTTGCTGGTTTAGGAGACATGTTGAGCAGTGTTCAGTCAGTAAGCTAAGATCGAATGTTAAATAAAACCGGGATAAACTTAGGATTTTTAAAATATATTAACTTTTAACTTGTGCGTCTCCTCAGCAAGGCGTCATGATCGAGAGTCCAAATGTGTATTATTTACAATATAGTTTATGTTGTGTAATATTTTGAGAATTTTAGTAGACATATTATATGAGAGACTTGCTTTGTTTATCAAACAAGTGGATCAAAACGGATTTGCGTTGTAAAACCTAAATAAAAGTTAAAAATTTATTATTTTTTATTTAACGATTTACGTTTTAGTTGCTTTATACTTAAATCTCCGCACTTAAAGGACAAAAAATGCCCAAAGAGTCTGTCTGGCCCTGGTCATAGGTAATAAATGATACCCCCAAGTGAAAACAGGCCCTAAGAATCACTTTTAAAAGAGTCTTTTTGGTCAGAATTGCTTGTTATTCTCTTAGTTTAGGAATAAATTCCACTCTGTAATTCCTCTTCCAGGTTTGGACAGCTAATTTTTATATTTTAACCCCTTCTTACGACATTCCCTTCCTGCTGATTTGGTTTCCCCCAGCTTCTTGTCCTCACTTGGAGAATAACAGGCCTCAGAACGGTTGGGGGTGCGCGGTTACGAAAGGGGACTTACTGCCGCATGACTTCCTTCCACAAAGGGCGAAAAGGTGGCCGGACGAGAAAAACAAGCCAATGACGTCACTTCAAAACAAAATTCCTGGAAAACCGAGATCCCATCAAGCTTCCACGACTGCAGCAGCGCTCCGCATGGAGACAAAGGAATCAAAAGGCCACCTTTCTAAAGACCCCAGCCAACGTGAACAAAGGCGTCCATTGTTCCCGTTCGCGGTGTTAATTCCCTGTTTATTTGTGCGTTAATAATTCCCACACATGAAGCTGGACGTGCAAACCAGCGTGTGCGTGAGCTTCCGGACATTCCCGGATGGTCAAAAAACAGGGGTCGCTTTCCGACACGCAATGTTGTTTTGGTTGGACTCATTAGACTCCTGCTTAGCTTGACAAATTCAGCAGGACGGCGAATGAGTCGCTCGGAATAATCAGGGTGGCATTTTAGCGCTCTAAACACTTGACACCGGCCATTCTCATCTGCTCATTTTCAATTTGCAGAAAAACGCTAAACAATGTTATGACACTTCCAGAGCAGCTTTATATTCTCCTGCTCCAGTTGAGCGTGACGAGCGGCTCGTTAATTTGATCAACGGTAATAAACAAATCACAGCATTCCACAGGAAATGCTACTTCATATCGGCGACACAGAGTTCATCCTTTATATCAGGGTATCTACAGGTTTCTGAGAGTTATTGCCCAGCAAACATATTTTGTTTTTAAACGATGTCTAATAAAGGTCTAATAGACGTCTAAACATAGTCATCTTAGTTAAAACAAGGCCAAATTTGGACTGTCAGTAAAAAATCTAATAGACGTCTAAGAATAGGCCAAAACTAGACTAGTCATCAAATAAACAGAAATGAATGACTACACATATAAAGTCTGTCTAATCTGTCTATTTGAAGACTAGTCTAGTTTTGAGCTATTCCTAGATGTCTATTAGATATTCGATGACTTTTTTTAGCCAAGCTGTCTACATTTAGATGTCTTATTGATGTCTATTAAACACAAAATTGTTTGCTGGGTATTATCATTTTGAATTTGACGAAAAGACTAAATGACGTTCTGATGCTTCCAGAACAGTTCTATCTTCCTCCAGTCAAGTTAACTAGCCAATAATATCCAGCTGCAGACCTGCAGACCCACACACGTTTCAGGACACACTATCCAGGCCACACAATCTAGGCAGGGGCAAACCATATATGGTTACAACGGATGTTAATGTTATTATGACTTTATGGACTTCGTCATCAATGTATTTCTATATATGCTGTTACTAAATAGTGTACACAATAGACAAAAGTGTATACTATGGCGAATGGGGAACGTTGTTTTGGATCGCCATTCAATATAATAGACTGAACAGTTTTCTATCAGGCAATATAGATGATCAGTCATTATTTATCTGAGTCAATATAGCAGATACTCATTTGCTGGCTTTATATCTGCATATGTAATAAAATCTTTTGCATTTAATGAATATATAACACTATATTAATATTTTACTCAAGCGACTGAATAGTATTTATTTGCTTAATAAAATAATGGTCATAAGTGTTTTAACTTATTATTTGTATTTACATAAATTGAGTATCAAATCAGCACAGATGTTAAAATGATCATTACAATATAATACAGAAATAACGACTAAAATGGGAAATCCCTCAACTGTTCACGGTCTATTGAATGGCAATCACAGCATAGACGGTCTCGATCGCCATATTTGTGAAATACATTAGGTAGCAATAGTGCTCCCAAGGAGTTAGTCGTCATTAAACAAGAAAAATAGAAGAAGACTGATCGGTCGTTAACCATATATGGACCGCCCCTGCCTAAATTGTGTGTTCTGCATTGTGTGTCCTCAATAGTTTGCAGGTCTGCAGCTGGATATATCTCCAACAAGTGGATTGTTCATATTCCAAATGACCAAAAACATATTAGGAACTGCAACTTCATGCATATATAACCCACCGGTCCTACTACACCCACGTGGTCTGAGCTGGGATCAAATCGGCGATTCTTTGCATGGGAGTCGCTCCAACAAGGAGGCTAAAGACCAGGGGTCACCAACCCTGTTCCTGGAGAGCTACCTTCCTGCAGATTTTAGCTGCAACCCTGACCAAACACACCTGTTTGTAATTATCAAGTGCTGCTTTAGGTACTATTAATTGGATCAGGTGTGTTTGATCAGGATTGGGACTGAATTCTCCAGGAAGGTAGCTCTCCAGGAACAGGGTTGGTGACCCCTGCTAAAGACCATGGTCTCTAGCATCTGTCACTAGAGCACCTGTGAGGTCAGAGGAGTGAGGTGTATCTGCACAGCTCTTCGCTAGATGGCCTCCGTTACACTCACCCCCTAAACCTCACTCCCATTCCGGACGAGCCCCCACGTCTAACCCACCAGTCCTACTGTACCCATCCCGGTCTGAGTTAGGATCAAACCGGCAATTCTTTGCATGGTAGTCGGTTGCTCTAACAAGAAGGCTAAAGACCATGACCTCTAGCACTTGAGGCTAGAGCACCTTTAGATCTCAGAAGAGTGAGGTTTACCTGCATAGAAACTCGCTAGCTGGCCTCTGTTACACTAACCCCCTAAACCTCACTCCCATCCCGGACGAGCCCTTAAATTTAACCCACCGGTCCTACTGTACCCAACCCGGTCTGAGCTAAGATCGAACCGGCAATTCTTTGCATGGGAGTCGGTTGCTCTGACAAGTAGGGCTAAAGACCATGACCTCTAGCATCTTATGCTAGAGCACCTTTAGATCTCAGAGGAGTGAGGGTTACCTGTATAGCACTTCACTAGCTGGCCTCTGTTACACATGAAAAATGGCATTTCTTTATTTTGTTGAGGAGAAAATTGATACGTACGAGGTGGAGTTGACGGTGGTGTATCCGGACGGGCATTCTGGGATGCAGGCCCCGTTGTGGATGACGTATGCGTGACAGTCTCCGCTCTTGTCCTTACACTGGTTGTGCAGGTCCTGGCAGAACTGAAGGGACACGCAGCGCCAGCTCTTAAAGGTGTAGTATCCTGGCGGACAGCGGTCCACGCACGCCTCGCCGTACAGGAAGTTGCGGCAGGCCACGCATTTGGTGGAGTTCCCCGGCACAGAGCAGCCACCCAGACACTGCTCGTGACAGCACTCCTTATGGGACGTACAGGCTCCGTGGACACATTCAGAAGGACAAACTGAAGGAAAAAAAAGGAAATATTGTTAGATTGTCAATGAAATAGGCAGAATAATACAGGCGAACAATGTAAATACGTCTTAGAGTTACGTCTCCCGCACTCTTCATTGTGTGTTGTACACTCGGGTAGGATGATGTGCTCTGTCCACTTGCAGGTTCAAGCATTAGCATATCTGTTTCTAAATCCATTCTAGGTTTACTACATTTGTAAAAAACATGTCTTCAGCTAGGCGACACTGTGGCTCAGTGGTTAGCACTGTAAAAGGACCAAGCCAAAAGAAATTGAATCAATGAATGAATGATGATTGTCTCCAGCAAAAGCCTTCGGTCTCAGAATATAGTTTATTGTCTGTACCTGTGGTATACTGAAACTTAAAGGCTTTTAAACATGCAGCACCTCTTGCATGAAAACAAAGTTGCAGTTTGAAGAGTTGGTTTCACTACATACTTTGAATGATTAAGGATGAATTTTTCTGAAATCTCATTTAAACGTGCAGAACAATCAGCAAACACAATTTCAGTTACGCTTTGTTGTCAAATTATATATATATATATATATATATATATATATATATATATATATATATATATATATATATATATATATATATTATACTCTTATATTTAATTAGGAGTCTAATGTCTAGCAGGTCTAATTCATTTAAATAACAAAACAATCTCACTTTATTAAAAATGTTACAAAAATGACACATTTTCATTAATGACACGTTTCATTAGAAATGCCAGTTGTTTTTGGACAACTAAATTGTCAAATTAAAGTACTGAAGTCCAAATTGAAAATAATTTACTCATAAAATCATTTGCTTTATTTCCAACCTATTTTAAAGTTTTCGTTGAACACAAAATAATAATAAATAAAAAAATTGACTATTATGTCAACAAATAAAAAAATGTAAAATAATGTTTTAAAAATGGCTTCATCCAAGAAATTTCTGATTAATTTTTCAGAAAAGCCAACAAATTGGCTCATGTTTAAAGACAAAAACACAACATTTCCAAAAGGGCTAATAAGTTTGTGATTATTAATACAGGCAACTATTTACGTCTTTTTTTGGCTTTTGAACTGAACAAAATAGTCAAATTGTGGTACAGATAATCCAAAAATGAAAATGATTCACTCGTGAAATCATTTACTTTTGTTCCAACTTGTTGTCTTTAGGATCACAAAATAATCAAAAATTCTAAACTTTCACTCTAATATGTCAACAAAAACCCCAAAGATTTTTAAAAATGGCTTCATCCAAGAAAACTCTGATCAATTTTTCAGAAATCCATACAAATTTGCCCATATTTAAAGGCAAAAACCTGCACACTTTAACACAACATTTTCAAAATTGCAAATAAGTTACACTCAACTTTTTGTTTTTTTTTTTGGACTGAACTAAATAGTCAAACTAAGATCATCCAAAAATCATTTAAATCATGTTTAAGATTTTTTGCTGAACACAAAAGAAACAATTCTGAACAATTCTGGTAACCGAGCGGTTGAACCAATATTTCTGATGTCAAAATCTGAACAGAAATGACCAAACTGTGTGGTAAACTTTGATTTTAACAACACGTATCAATCCTGACATCGCGTCTAAGAAATCAGCTGTGATAAAATCATGGCTAATCTGCAGGCGGAGGCAATCTGAGGTCATCGCTGTGTGCCTTTCATCAGGCAGGAAGGAAGTGATTCAGAGTGCTTGGCCATCTGGAAGTGGAGGCCTGCGCGCGGCCGAGTGTGAGAAGAAAACCAATGCTAGCGGTCTGTAAGTCATCGTCCTCGTCTCACACTCACGCTGGCCGCCCGCTAGACCACAACAAAGACACTACGCCTTCCAGAAACATGGAGAGATGAGCATTCTGCAGGAAAACAGGAAGCATTCTGGGTAGAGCATGCAGAATCGTATGGAATAAACAGGAAGACAACAGTTTAAAGAATGCTGAGTTTGAACTGAGCAGCCTAGTAGCACTTTATTTACTAGTGAATGTTTATTTCGAAATAATACAATTAAACATGGAATACAAAAATGATTGAAATTAATAAGAAAATCCATACTGTGCATTGTTTTGAATGTTTCTAACACTAGAACTACTGAGGCCAAAATTCGGGACATTGTAACCTGCAGAACCTGGGTAGCTTAAAAAAAAAAAAAAAAGTATTCAGGTACTACTAGTGTTAAGACTGAATTATACTTTTGCCTGGCTTCATGTCGCAGACCTCCACTAAGTATGTGCGTTCATCGCAAAACGGACGAGGCTTTTTCACTTTTTATGCGTTCGCCTTTGAGATTTTTTGAAACGACAGGGTACAGTCAAAAGAAATCAACCGTTAAATCAGACGGATAAAGTAGGACGTTTACGGAATTACGTCATATCATTAATATGATTACATTTTTTAAAAACTATTTTCATAAATTATTTTAATGAAAAATAATTCCAAAATTTTTTTTTAAATCAAACTTTGATTAAAACATGTAATTATTATTACATTATCTTTGAGGCAAATGGCAAACCATTACTAATAGTGTACATTGCAGCCAGTCATTTCGTCCTCTCGGAGTATACAATGGTCCCTCGTTATTCGCAGGGGTTATGTTCGAAAAAAACCCTGCAACAGGCGAAATCTGAAAAGTAATCCCCTTTATTTTTGTAAATATAAAGCCCAGCCCTCTACTTAATATTCTGTTTTAGTCGGAAGTACATCAACATACTAAAACAAAAAGTCCCAGCAACTTCCGGTAAATGTTAATAAATAAATAAATAAATAAAATAAAAATGAAAAAAAAAATTAAATGTACTATAGTACTCTGATTTTTCCTAAATGTGTAAATATTTAGTTGTAACATTATTTTATTTAAATTACACAACACAAAATAGTTCTTAGCATTTCTACCATGAATGTCCATAATGCTCAAATTACATAATGCTCAAGTACACATTTCAGCATTCTCTACATTTTTGTGTGCCTCTTTGCTTATCAACTTTATGCTAACAAAAACAAATTTCGGATTTCAAAAACCATGACTTTACTTCAGAAATGTCTAAATTAAATTAAGTTTTTGAAAAGAAATAAGGAATAGAGAAAAATTATATTTTGTATTTTCTTTTACTTGCTTTTAAATTTCTGTTTATGCAAAGCACTTTGAATTATTTAAATGATTTTATTGTTTGAAATACTATTGTGTATGAAATGTGCTATATAAATAAACCTGCCTTGCTTAAATTTCCACTCTAGGAACTGGTACGCAATTATATGCAAAATTGCAAATAAAAGATTGCATATTTAGTGTAACGTCTTCATAAAATATGACCAGAGACATCTTAAATCTTAATTCTAAAATCACAATAGAATGTAAGATGTGACAAAAATTCAATTAGATACAGAATGATTGTATGATAATTTCAGTAGTTACAGAATTCAATTGATTCCGGTGTTAAAAGAATAATTTTACACACTATTAGTAGGCAGTATTTAACACTATTAAATAACTTGATACATTAAATATAGAAAAAAATAATCCAATAACTAAAGAAAACAGTAAAAATTATTGAAATAGCATCTAGCTGGCTTTAAAAAGAAAGTAGTAATTACTAGCATTTTATGTAAACCATCATTGTTTTTTTTTTTAAGCCAACCTACAAAAAACTTTGAACAAGGGTTAAAATAATTGTGACTAAATATAACAACCTATGTAAGAAATGTATAAAATGAAATAACTATGCATTATTTACTTTTTCAAATAGTAGAAATAATTAGTTTTTATAAAAATATATATCTAATATTAATTAATTTACTATTAGTTAATATTATAATTATTTATAATTTTTATAGTTAATAATATTTATTACCTAATTTAAAACATACTGTATAACTTATACATCACACACATACACCTTTTAAGCTAAAATTTAACAGGAATATTATATTCGTATTGAATTGGATGTTAAATTTACTATTCACATTTCTAAATATCATTATATAGCTGCTTGTAAACAAATAGTAACAACGATCTCAACCTGCTGCGAATACTGTAACATAAAATAATTCAATGTGACTGGTTAAGGGTGTCATTCTACATAATCTGTCCAACAATATTTAAGTTCATTTTTTTTAAAAAAGTCCAAATTCTAATAAAAAAAAACCCCAGTTTTTCTCTTTCCTCCAAGCCCCGACCATGTTTACACACTCAGTTCACAGACTCCCGATCCAGTCTGATCACTCCGCTCCGTGTTTTGAGATCAGCCTCAGATCCGCCCTCACCCTTAACCAATGTTTTTGCCGTCCGTGGAAGGCAGCCATTCAATGGCCTCTTCCAGCAGCGGGAGCGGATCCGCCCAGCGTTAACCCTCGCTGCGCCGCAGACAGGCAGCAGACGGACAGACACAGGCAGGAGCGAGCATGCAGACGCTCCCAGCATTCCTCACATACAGCAGCGATGGCGGACGGAGGAACCCTGAACACCCTCAACCCCTCCTCCAGCCTCCCTGAGGATCAGCACGCATCCTCACTACTACTTCATTCATGAGCTTTGTGTGCTGTCTGAAGACTCCGTGTTTGTGTGCATGTGCTTGAAATGCTTACTCGATTGTTGTTTTCTGCAAGCATATGACGCACCGGGAAACAAATATGTATTAATATTAACAAATATACGACAGAAACTCATATATATTGCAAAAAATGGTATATATATATATATATATATATATATATATATATATATATATATATATATATATATATATATATATATATATATAATGTTTTAATAATTTTTTAACTAAGCTGGGTAGTATCAATTTTAATATATATGAAATTTTCAAATATCAATTTTAATGATACATTTTAATCAGATTTAATCATTTTGGTGTCTAGTTTTAAGAAATTAATGATGTCAACATGGATTTTAATAGTATTTTTGACCTATTAACTTAAGATTCTGACGGTTTGATAACCTTGGATATAAATATCACGGTTTCACGACATCACAGTAT